ATGCAACCTTCTTTTTTGCTAGTTATATTACCTTTTGTATAACTAAAATAAAATTAGTATAAATTGGAAATATTCAACAATTCAAAAATTATATTTAAAATATCTTGTTTAGTAAATGTTTTAGGTTAGAAGCCCATCCAAACTTTGTTGCCATCTGTAACCAATTTCGCTGACACATTAATGCAGCAACTGTGTTGTGATCTAATGAGGTACAATTATAATTAATGATACGACCTGTACAACTAAACATTTGTTCTGATGCGACACTAGTAGATGGTATTGCAAGGAAGTTTCGAGCCATTGCTGATAAATTTGGAAAGTGATCTTTATTAAGTTTCCACCATTCGAGAATGTTAGTAGTTTTAGTAGCAATTGGTTCATCTAAATATTGATTAACTTTATAAAGTGCATTATCTTCATTAACTCGAGATTTTTTGATTGTATATTCAAAAAAATCATCAACATGATTCTCGAATATTGGTGTATTATCTTTAGCATTAATGATAACTTTGTTGTGAGTGGTTGAACATTTAACAGTTGGTGGAGAATAGTAAGTTTGAATATATATATTTTCAAATCTAATTTTTATAATTAAGTTAGTAACAAAATTATAAATAATTGTCATGACTGAAATTTAAAATTTTTGGAGTGTGTTTTTTTTTTAGGGTTTAGAATTCATAATTAGAATTGTTTGTAAGAGTATAAATAGATTTAGTAGGTTTAGTAAACCTATATTGAGCCCAAATCTTAGCATCAGTTGTGACAATAATTATATAATAAATTAATAAATATGCATACTTTATTCTTATATTTTGTAGTTTGTTATTGAGATTATCTGATTCTAGCTTTTCTTTTTTACGATAATAGAATGAGATGAATTGCAACTTGTAGCAAGAGTTAAGAATATATGCAACCATATATAGAGAGCCACCATCTTCCTAATACTTATTAAACTTTTCTATCATAGGTTCACAAATGTTACGAATAAAATCTTTAGTATGGAATCTCATGCTGAGAAGATGAGTATGAATATTCAAGATAGAGGCAAAGGCATTATTAAGAGTTGGATTGGAATTTGCTGATGTTTTAAGAGTATCTATTTTTATAAAATTAAATTAATACTTAGTGAAGATTAATCTAAAGTTTATAACATGATAAATTTACTACCAAAATGCAATATAATAAATTTTTTAAAACTGATTAATTAATAAATATTATACAGTCATAAAATGGTTTTAAAATAGTACAAATATTATCTGCCTTTTTCCATTCCTTTTCATCTGGTATATTGGGAAAGGTTTTGTTACGATCTTTCATTCTAATAATCACATTTTTTATTTTTATTGCTAATTGTAACATTTTATATGTAAAATTCCAACGAGTATCGCAATCTAATGATGGAATTACAAGACTTTCAGATTTATATTCACAAAGATCTAAATAGATTTGACATCATTTCGGAGTTGTGTAGTGTTTTAATACAACTACAAATCTAAATAAATTCAAAAAAATATTTAAAAAATTATCATATATTAAATTTAAATAATGCATAACTACCTTTTAGATTATTTCTGAGATTTTTTTTAGACCGTCTTTTATGATTAGATTCAAGATATGAGCAAAGTAATGGTTATGAAAAAACTTCTTACTCATATTACTATAAAAATTTTGGAAAATATGATCTGCCAATTCATGAATTGCAACATCATTTGAACTTGCATTATCAAGAGTAATAGTTTGTAGCTATGAAATAAAAAGTATTAATATATATAGTGTTAGTATTTTATATATGATTGAACAATTCTGCCTGTTTAGTTTGTTGCTTTACTGTTAAACTTTGATAATTTAGGTTAGACCAATTTAATTTGGTATTACATTACATTCTCTTCTCAAAAAGGAGGGGCAAAAAAATAAAATTTGTATATTAAATTGGTTTGGTTAAAAAAAATTAGCATAAAGAGGGAGGATAATGTAAATCACTGAATTAAATTGGTCTGGCCTTATTATAAATATATAAGTAATAGAGAAAGAAAACCTGCAAATTAATTCATAAACTATCATAATAAACTTAGCCCAAGGATTGATCACATAATAAATATATTACCAAGTAAATAAGATATATTGAGTCTGAGACTGATAATATAAAACTCTATTAACTAATTTACGGGTTTTCACTTCTTATTACTTAAATATTTAGTTTGAATCTAATAGTTACTGATCCAAAATAGTTTTTCTTGACACTTTGCTTTTCATATTTCAACATTATTTTTTATTCTAATTGGGTTTACAATTAGGATTATATCCCTATTAAAAATAGAATATTGTTAATATAATTTAAATACATAATAGATAACATTCACTAAATTTAGTTTATTAAAGTTACATTAACATTCTAAAATTCGGATATACTAACTTTTCATTAAATATACATATCAAATTCACAAGTACTCAGTATAATTACAGGTATTTATTTCAACAAAGCAATCATAACTTGCAAACTTTAGCTCTTTTTTGAGCTTTATAGATTAGTTGTAGCATAAAAATAACAAGAGCACTTAATATTTGATATATAAGTTTTATTATTTGCTTATTAACTTGAATAAACTCTATATCGATTATCACATGATCATGACATTTTCTACCACAATTAACCTAAATTAAATGCATTATCACTCTTTTATTACCTTATTAGTAATTAAATACTTATCTGTTGCTACTTTAATGCAATTGGCAATATTGATTCCAGAATGGGGAAAGGGAATTAATCTAAATAATAGTAAAATAAAAATAAGATTCCAGTTTTTATCAAGAAAGTGTGCAGTAATTGATAGATATTCAAGTTGTTGAAGCAACCTCCAAATATCACAAGTTAGAGAGATTTTGCCCTTTGCATTTTGAAGGATTTCTTTGATATAAACCTTTCTTATATCATATGCTTTTATGACATCTCGCTTTACCATATCAGCACTAATAGTAAAGTTGAATACTAATCTATTAAATAACATTCAAAACCCTTGCTTTTTTACAAACTGAAAACTTAGTTCATCTCTAATTATCATATCAACTAAGTTTTTTCGAATTGAGTCATTTGAAGGTTTGATTGTTGGACTAAACTCCAATTGCATTTGACCTTTAGGTAGTTCTGCTGAACCTTTTTTGAAAACTGATTTTTGATACTTTCTGCATGATTTGAGGTGACGGTGAAGGTGAGACATTCTGGTACTCTTTTTATGACTTAGTTGGTATTTACAATAATTGCATATAGCTTTTTGTTTATTTGTTAATAAAGAAAAATGTGCCCAGACAGAAGACTTGTTTTTTTGTGAGTCAACTGGATTGATAATAGATAACTCTGATACTTCTGATGTTGAAACAGAATACTCTGAACTTATTTCATTTGCAACATCTTGATTGTGATTATTCTTGTCATTATTATTCTGGTTGTAGTTGTCATGATCATAGTTATCCTGGTCATAGTTATCCTGGTTATAGTTATTCTGATCGTAGTTATCCTAGTCATAGTTATCCTGGTCATAATCATTCAGGTTGTAATCATTCAGGTCGTAATCATCCATGTTTAGTTCAATAATGACTTGTTTTTATTTTTTATTTTTTGTTAACTCAGTTTTGTTAGTGACTTTTTTTTTTTGTTAGTTAAATTCTTTGGTAGGTTTGGTTAATTTCATTAATTGGTTTCGTTGGCAATTTTTATTTATTTTTGATAATTGATTGTTTTGTGGTAAACAGGTTATAAACAAAGAGTAACTCTTAAAACTCTTAAAATTTCTTAAATTCAATACTTATTGGTTTCTGTTATATTGTAAACTCGATTAGAATAAAGTTATTACTCTATATACACATCATTTCATATCGTTATAAATAAAGCGGAACTCTTAAAATTTTTAAAACTCTTAAAACTCTTAAAATTTCTTAAATTCGATCCTTATTTGTCTTAGTCATGTTATAAACTTGTATTGACCAGATTATGAATAAAGTTATTACTCTATATACACATTGTTCCAGATCGCTATAAAATAAGGTTTTATTAATGATAAGTTAATTTTATTTGTTTCTGTTATATTGTAAACTTGAATAAACCTGGTTTAAAGTTACAACTCAATACATGCATTGCAACCAGATCATTATAAATAAGGTTATTCTTATTAATAATTTGATCAAATAGGCATTCGTCCTTTCTAAAAAATCATTAAAAAGTAAATACTATCGCTATATCCTTGGTATTGTTCTCTTTAACAATTTATACCTATATCTGAAGCTATTAATTTTTTTTTTGTTGCATATTTAGAAGTTATATAAACAAGCAAAAAAATCAAATTGATTGGCTAGATCTATGCATTTATGCTCATGTAACTTTGAATTCATAATATTAATATTTTTGACAGGTATCCTCTGAAATATGAGCTGGGTATAATAATATACTAAGCCCTGCCCTTATGTATAAGGGTTTGGCTTCTGAGCCCTTATCCTTACCCTAGGGTTTAAAGTCTAGCACCCTAGCCCAGCTCTTATGATACTACCTGTGGGTACCCATAGGTAGCCCAGGCCCATGCGGAGGCCTAATCCCAACCTTAGTACTAACTTTACAACATATCCTTACTACTTTGATATTTAATTCAAATTCTACTAAGCTGCTATTTTAAATAGTCTGAAAAGGTAAAGTGAGACCATACCTCTGGTTTACATGTTTGCTAGCATGTATCCTTTTTTTCTGAAACCTGAAAATTCTAATGGCCTGGTTGGTTCATTCAGTTTCTTCTCAAAGACCAGCACATTTGCTTGGTTTTACAAGTTCTAGCTCTGTTTCATAAGTCTAGTCTTTATAGTAATACTGTTGAAGGTTTAGGTTATTTCTCTACTTGGGTCTTCCAAGTAGGCTTCTGTCTTCCTACCTGGTTTCTGTAATTTACATAGCCTAAAGACTTATCTTGAGTTTATACTGCCTAGTACCAGTTTGTGTTCCTTTATACAACATTGTATAAGTGCTTAGACCTTCCAGTTATGCTGGTATAATACAGATTACAAGTATCTTATTTTAACCAATCATAAAAGACAGTTAGCCATAACACAAAAAAAATTGCAAATTTTCATCATCACTGAGATTTGAACTCTAAACCTGCTACTTGGGGATTAACAACCTATTCACTTTACTAAATTACCATACCTTCACTATTAAATTTTTAATTCATTATATATAAATATATTAATATTAAAGTAATTTTATAAGGGTGTGGCCACAGCTCTCTTTCCGATGATCCTCTGCACCAATTTTTTCACATATACCGACCTACGAAAATTATATAGTTAGCATGTTTATAT